AAAATTATCTTATGAAAGATATATCTACATTATGTTTTTCTCATATAATTTTGTCCTGGTTGTTTTCCTTATAAACTTTGGAATGCAAAAAGGGGAAAAATAGAAATATATGCAAGCTGTGGGTTCCAGTCACAGCCTTCCTCAGAAAAATGTATCAATCTTTGAACTTCCTTGTACCAATTCACTATTGGGAACAATGGCGAAATTAATCAAGGACAAGGCAGATAGAAAAGTGCATCTAAAATGGCTTTCCTTTTAGCAATTCCTGTCAAATGCTACACAGAGTAGCAAATTATAGTTGTTTAGATATCCATGGTTCTGAAGGACAGTGAATGGACCAAATGCAGGTGATAAGTTTAAGTTTAAACTGTCCTCTATTTTAATATCATCACAATATCAATGTGAGTCTTTAGTAAGTGATTCTTTCTGAGTCCCAGTGTCCTCGTTCATAAAATGGATAATTATGATCAGTAATATCACTTGCAGCTCTAAAATTTATGATTCATAATTCTGCTGGAAGAAGAGTAACATCACTCTAAAATATGGTTGTCAAAGAGCCACACCTTTAAGTTTCATTAGGAAATTCATATATTCCACACCTCCAGCCTAGGTGATGTACCAGAAGACAGAGATAGTGGGAAATGCAGATGGATAAAGGAAAAGAGGAAGGCTTTATGCTTCTGATTAGAAAAGATACAGTAACACAGGCCTTTGCTGTTTCAACGATAAACAGTAATCATGGAAAATGAAAGCTGTCTAAGAAGTTTGTGAAATGTCCCTATTCACTGGAAATAACAAAAAATTCGAGCAGAATTCAGTCCAGATCTACAAATATTAATTGGCAATCTGTTGTACGCCAGACATTGTGCTGGGTACGGAGGATGCCAATATAAATAAACACAATTTTTGTGATGCACAACCTAAATCTAGGTTAAATCAACTATTAGGAAGAAGCCTAAAGTACATGTGCCTAAAATAGGAACATCACTTTTGTTTATGTCAATATGGGATACCAAAGGAAATAATCTAATAATTGAAGTGGGGGAGGACCCAGATAAGAGCAAATCCATGCCACTTAGTCTGACATGATATATTACTTTACATTACACTACCCTCACCAATAACTGTCCAAATAAAAAAAATCACTGACTCTTAGAATATAAACAGATCTGTTAAACTGGCCTGTTCAAATGGTTATACCCCTTATGATTGATACTCAAGTAAGAGAATGTTTCAAACAAATGAATATATAATCACTGACCAGTAAGATCAATGAAAACCAAATACTTTGCTTCGTAGTCTTTGTCACTTATTCAGGACCGTATCAGTAGAGCATGTGCATAGAGATTTCTTTCTGCTGTGCTATTTGCTATATAATCTGATTAATCCCTAACTAATATGGGGGTCAGAGTGATTGACAGGGAAAAAGCAGATGTAATACGCAGTAATGCCAGTTACAGTTGGCTGTACTCACAAGAAACCCTTAGCCGACCTAGGAAGCACAGTCCACAAATCACAGCTAAGGCTGTGTGACGGATAATTTATTCACTTGAGCAGGTATCTCAGTGAACAACACCTTACTCTTTCCCCGTCTTCAACATTTGACACAATTCTGCATATATCTCAGGAAATGAGATGCAAAATAGGGAGGGCCCAGAAGTCTAAATTAATTCTGAAAATTTTGTGAGATCCAGGCTAGAAAATTGCTAAGAAGTTCGAGGTTTTTTTTGTTTAAATTCAGTTGGCCAACATATAGTACATCATTAGTTTCAGATGTAGAGTTCAATAATTCATCAGTTGCATAGAACAACCAATGCTCATCCCATCATGTGCCCTCCTTAATGCCCACCACCCAATTACCCCATCCCCCCCATCAGAAGTTCAAGTTTAGAGGTAATTTGAAAGAAAGCCAAAATAGTAATGAAGCCTAACATATAAAGTTGGTTAAGATATATAAATTAGAACATGATTCTAAACTTTAGTGTGTGTTTAAGTATCACCTCGGAGGCTTGTTCAGTATAATGTCTTGGAGTACACTCCAAATGATTCTGACTCAGTAGATCTGAGACAGGGTTCAGAAAGCTACAATTTGGGAGTCACCCCAGGTGATTCTAATGGGGAAATGTGACCTGACATCCACTGGTTCAAAACAATGGATTTGAGAGTCCAAAAAAGATTTTAGTTGGGTAACTCCTATGCTAGAGACAATGAAGAGATAATGGATGGTCTCTCCCTTCAAGTTGCTCGTGATCAGCTCAGCAGGTCAGACACCAAAACAACTATGTGAAATGAGCTAATAAGAACTTAATAAGCAGTATTGTAAAAGTTCTTAGAGAACACAAATGTGGAAGCAATTATCTCTGCCAGGGATGGAAAGCATAACATGTAAAGTTGAATATAAAGTGTATCTATGTACCTGTTAATAAAATAAAGGAAAGTTGAGCTTTTTTTTTTCCTGGAAATACAATTCTTAAAAGTGGGCATGTGTGCTGTCATTCAGTTATTAATATTTACATCTTACTGTTTGTTTTTTTTTTTGTCATCACTTTGTTCTTTCTGCCTTTTTGGAGGCTTATGATATCCAGTGTTGTTTCTGAGTTTTGGTCTTGTTATCCTCATGTTTATTTCGAAAAGCATTCAAAGTTCTAAAAATGGCCGTTGCTCTAAGCTTATTTAGAATGATGACTTCCCCTACTTTACCTAGTTGGCTTTTATTGTGGGTTCTGTCATAATAGCTTTGCACTCTGAGTTATTAAAAGTGCAGTACTAATGCTATTTGTTCCCTTTTTGCCTCAAAACAATTTGTTTCCTGACTTGGAGCCCAGGATAGTTTTGATACATGGTAGATATTCTCACATTGCAACATTCTACTACTATCATATTCCAAAGTGCCTATATTATGATAAAGCAAAACATTTGGTCTATAGCTGCTTCAGAATTTAGTGAGGAAGTCAGATTTATTTGAGAGAGTTTACACCAAGCCAACAACTTTTGAATGCTGAAAGAAAATTTAAGGCCTGCAGAATAAATATAAGCCAGACGTTTTCCTCTAGAGTATGAGCATGAACTTTTTTCCATTTTATGACACTTTTCTGTGGAATTCTTGAGACACAAGAAAAATAGTTATGTAGAGAGACATATATAGATATGGTGTTTCAATATTCTATGTTTACTCCACCAATCCTTAGCAAGTAAATATTGTCCTACTTCAAACTATTTGACAAAACGAATTATTCTATTAAATATTTAAGGCTTACTCAGTGGGAAAGATTTCCCAGAAGTGTCAAAGCATTAATTAGTTTCTCTCATCTGCAGCCTATACTTAGGGAAGGATACGCCCCCCCATGAGCAACTCAGAGCTGCCAGGGACACAAAAGGAGGTAGAGTCAAGTCATAAATCAAATTCCAACTGACTTGCTGGGGCTGCCCCAGATCAGGGGAACCCTCATCCTTCCCTGCCCTAGACACACACACCTAAGACCGCTGTAACATTAGAACACATCAGGAAAAAGAGCAAGACCACTCTTTTCAATATGTTAATTATGGGAGAAATAAAAATTCAGTAGAAGGGACTTTATATGTTTAACAACGGTGTTTTTATCCGCTGGCATATATTTTTTGATGCAATAGTAATATCAACCCAAAACTGGAACTTTGGCAATGAAATGAGGTGAAGGGAAAGAGAAAAGGAAAGAGTCTTGAGCTACGTGGGCCAGTAAAAAAATGGAAATAAATGGAGTTGGTTTCAGAATTTGTATTTCATTATAGTTTTCCTAACATAAAAAGGAATAGGTGAGAGAAAATAGGATAGCGTCCTTCTGATGTTAGCCTGTTTCTCAAGTGTTTTGAAGGAACCCCAAATCTTTCTTTTATCATGCCTAAACCAGCAACTCCCTTATAATGTCACTTACTAGAGGTCTGTCTCTTGCTAGGTCAATAATCCCCAGAGTGAGGCTCACTGATGTGTGGAGTTACTCGGAAAAAAAAAAAAAAAAAAAAAAGTCATAGTTCAAAAGCTAAAAAAAATCACTGCTACGAGGTGTGAAGAAGAGAAGATCGGATGGGACCTAGAGTCTGCTGAAGGATAGTTATTTGAAGATTAGTAGGGAGCAGATCTCCAAATCGAGGATTTTAACTCTAACAAAAGGGAACTTGATTGGTTGAATTACAATAGCAGATAAGAGCGTAAAAATAGCAATTTTTAAACCTGTGCCTGTAAGCTACATAACTAACAAAAATGCCTACAGTTGAACCCCACTGAATACATACTTGCTAATTATACTGGACCACGAAACCAAGAGTTTTCCTAATTAATTCAAATAAACTAGCATTTCCAAAGTGCCTACCATGTGCAAGGTACTGTGCTAATGACAGTGGAAAATTTTTACACATAATAATAAAAACAGCACAAGGCATGTTCCCAGTTTCTAGAGGATTTTTAAAAACTTACTTAATGTAACAAGATTAATTATGTATGAACTGAGAGAGCCAAATATGTGGAAAGAATCTCATACCCTAATTGGAATCATTATGTTTGCTGCAGATGTGGACTGGTATGATTTGGGGAATTATTAATTCACTCTTTCTGCAGTGAAAGACTATTTTCCTCACTTCGATGTAAATAAAAGGACTACCTTGTCATCATCACCTTAAGAGTCTAAAAGAAAGTGATACCTTGTATGTGTAATAGAAAGATCAAAAGGATTGTCAGTGTCAGAAAAACAAAGGCTATCTTTTAAAGTAGGTAAGGGGAAAAAGTTAGTGTGTTTTTTAATTTCTGGATTTAAAGAAACAAACAATATCTTCAAGACAGAAGTCAAAAAGCACCCCAGTCTCCAGGGTAAATGCAAATAAAGAAAACCACAACCACAACCACCAAACACCAATCAGGGTGGTGTTCCTTGTAGGCCCTTTCTGAGGATTGGTAGAAACTGCATTTTTTTAATCTCTGTTTTTATGCTTGTCCCAAGATCTTTTAAGGGGTGGGGTGGTGGGGAAGAGGTAGCCACTATATAAAAGAAGCCACCTTGTGATTTTGAAAATTTATACAAAAATAAAGAAATACCAGGTTTGGCAGCTGATCCTTTGCAATGGACCCAGAAGCAACCTCAGTTTATTTGGATTATTTCTATGTTACCAGCAAAAATCCTGATCTTGAGGACACCCACTCCCATGTTCCTTATATGTCGGCCTTCCTTCCGGTCTTTTACACAGCTGTGTTCCTGACTGGAGTGTTGGGGAACCTCGTCCTCATGAGTGCCTTGCATTTCAAACGGGGCAGCCGAAGACTGATTGACATCTTCATCATCAACCTGGCCGCGTCTGACTTTATTTTTCTTGTCACGTTGCCTCTCTGGGTGGATAAAGAAGCATCTTTAGGACTGTGGAGGACAGGCTCCTTCCTGTGCAAAGGCAGCTCCTACATGATCTCAGTCAACATGCACTGCAGTGTCTTCTTGCTCACCTGCATGAGTGTTGACCGCTACCTGGCCATCGTGTGTCCAGCCATATCCAGGAAATTCAGGAGGAGAGATTGTGCATATGGAGTCTGTGCCGGCGTCTGGTTTATCTCCTGCCTTTTAGGTTTGCCTACTCTTCTGTCCAGGGAACTCACCCTGATTGATGATAAGCCATACTGTGCAGAGAAGAGGGCTACATCAATGAAACTGACTTGGGCCCTGGTGGCCTTAATTTTTACCTTCTTTGTCCCTTTGGTGAGCATTGTGACCTGCTACTGTTGCATCACAAGGAAGCTGTGTGCACATTACCAACAGTCAGGAAAACATAACAGAAAGCTGAGGAAATCCATAAAGATCATCTTGATTGTCGTGGCAGCCTTTGTCTTCTCCTGGCTGCCCTTCAATACTTTCAAGCTCCTGGCCATTGTCTCTGGGCTGCAGCAAGAAGTCTACTTTTCCTCGGCTTCTCTCCAGCTGGGCATGGAGGTGAGTGGGCCTTTGGCATTTGCCAACAGCTGTGTCAACCCTTTCATTTACTATATCTTTGACAGCTACATCCGCCGGGCCATCGTGCACTGCTTGTGCCCTTGCATCAAGAACTATGACTTTGGGAGCAGCACGGAGACATCAGATAGTCACCTCTCTAAGGCTCTCTCCAACTTCATTCATGTAGAGGACTTTGCCAGAAGGAGGAAGAGGTCTGTGTCACTCTAAAAGGGACTGTGACATTTCAAGCTCTGTTGGTAGACTGGAGAGTTAATTTGTGTCAGCCACAAAGAAAGAGGAAAAGTATTGCTGATACCATTCATAGTGTTTCATAAATAAATATAAGGAAGAGTTCATTTTTAAAGAGATGACTGAAAAGTCCCTGTATTCATTGGTATGATTGGATCATGTGCTGGTTTGGGGGTGTTGGGTTTTTTGCTTTTTATTTTTTTATTTTTTTTGGCTAAGTGGCCCACTTGTCAATCAAGTTCACCAGGCAAAATATGACTCTTATTGTCCTTGAACTCTGACATAAAGGCTCCTCTTGGACTCCTTTCTTCATGATTGCTTATGTACATTCAGGCCTTTTCCTCTTTCAAGAACAGTGGTACCTTGATCTACACCATCCTTCATATTGGGCTCCAATTGGACTACATCTAAAAGATTCTGCCCACTTCCATTTGGCGAGAAATGTGGTAACAATGCAGGTAGCAAAAAATATACTTGTGCCCTGTAATTAATTGTTACTGAGTAACAAAGTGAGAGTCTGGCCTTAATCTTTAAAAGTTTGTAAGTATACAAACTTTTTGTATACTTTACTGTTTCTTTTGTTTTGTTTCTTTTGTATTCTTTACTGTTTCCAATATTATCTTTCACCCTTTGCCATTCACAATAACTTTGGACTGGCAAAAAACTCACAGGGATAAAATCATTCTGTATTGTGTTTATGATTCAGGACTTACTTTATCACCTGACCTTCTAGAGTATCTTGAAAAGGCAGCGTTGGGCAAAGTTTGACTTTTATTTTCCTTGTAAGATATATTGGTAAAAACGTATCTCATTATAATGGCATAGTAATTATTTTTCAGTAAGGTTTTACTATGCTCTTTTGTTTTCATTGACTTCATAAGTTAGGATATGACTTTGCTTTAATTACATGTTTTTAATTACCCAGTTATTTAGTTAGCAAATGAAAATGTTACTACTAATATAATTGGAGATCATCAAATGCTTAGCTACAGCATCATGTGGATTATCACTTTGTATTTTAATTAAAATGTTAATGCTACATATTCTCTATGGCATTATTTGCTTGGTGTATATAATTTCAAGACTTGATTCAGTAATATAGGAAGACAGGATGCTCTGTATTCAGCTGAAGTTAAAAATCCATAATGAAGATGTTACTGGTATTTTATATATACACATTTTTCCAAACCCAGAGACTTTCCTCAATTCTTTCACCTAATAAATATTTATTAAGTCTATTTGTACCTATATTCCTTTTAAAGACTTTGAAGTGAAAAACGTAATTAGCATCAACCACAAAAGGCTTTGCTACAGAAAACATATTATTGTAAACATCTTTTGATTCAAGAGAAACTGGGTTATGTTTTGACCTTCAGTGTTGACTCAAATGAATTACTATTTTACTTCTAAATATTAGGTTTGAAAATCAGAGAAAGCTTAAAATCTTCAGAGATCAAGTAATTCAAGTTCATCCCATTTATCTTTCACATTAAGAGAAATCTCAAATATTGGGCATATTCTTATAATCTATTTGAAAGTTGAAAATATAGTTTTTGGTTTTATAAATTGGTTAATTTGTTAATTTCTCTTAAACTTTTATTAAATAAAAATATAATTTCCTTATTTAGGTATTCTATATTATATTCATTTCTATCAACACATTGCTATTAATATTGATATCATAACAGCCTTTTAATACTTTGTCATAGATATAGAAAAAAGGACAATAAATCATAAGAAGTAAGTTTTCTTGGAAAACTTCAAAACTGAATTCAAAACAAATAGATCTCCAAACGTTAAACGGAAATAAAATATAGACGGTAGAAGACATCTTCTTTTTAAAAGCAAATCAGCAAAATCACTATTACTAATCAGGAAAATAAGTGTCCTTCAGAAATGCTACTTTAAAAAAATAGCTCAATCAATCAGGTAAAGTATTTGTTAGGAAAAGAAAAAGAAATTGGGTTGTTAGTTTCAGCTTCCTCCTTAATGTTGGGTCATTGAACAAATCATTTTAATCTTTCATACCTAAGGGTAGTTGGTAATATCTACGTCTATAGAATTCTCAAGGGTATTATAAGACTCATAAATATAAAGGTTCTTTAAAATCTTGAGTTAAAAATTATTATAGAAAGCTATTGGGTTTCTACTATTAATTTTTTTAATTGAGTGTTGTTTTAAAATTTCCAAACTAGAAGGGTTCCTGGCTGGCTCAGTCGGTTGAGTGTCTGCCTTCAGTTCAGGTCATGATCTAGGGGTCCTGGGATCAAGCCCAGGGTTGGGCTCCTGCTCAGCAGGGAGTCTGCTTCTCCCTCTCCCTCTGCCCCCCTCGCTACTGCTCCCCAAGTCCCCTGCTCCTGTGTACACACTCTCTCTCTCAAATAAATAAATAAAATCCTAAAAATAAAATAAAATAAAATTTCCAAACTGGAATATCAAGTGACAATCACTCTCATTTAACAAATATTAAGAATCTGTCTTCTGTTTCATCCCTTTAGTTTTTTCTGGAAATATGTAAAATAACATTGAAGATAGATATATTATTGTATTTTTTTAAATTTTTTTAATTAACATATAATGTATTATTTGTTTCAGGGGTACAGGTCTGTGATTCATCAGTCTCACACAATTCACAGCGCTCATCATAGTACTTACCCTCCCCAATGTACTTTTTAATACCTTAAGTAGATAACGCTAATTTTGTACATTAGAAAATCTTAGTGTATTGTATACTCATAATGTTCCAATTATGGAAGAAAAAATAGACATAATTTTACAGATAGAATAACTCTGATAGTAAAAAGTTCAAAACTTGATTAAGTTGGTGTGTCATTATGGATTCTTCTGGTAGGAAATGAAGTTTACATTATAATAGCATTAAAAGTTTTATTATAAATATACGGTTAGATCCCATTTTACATATTTTTAAACCATGATATTTCCACATTTTTAATACAAATTTATTTATATACACATATACATTCAGATACATGTAGAAACATAGTTTATCAAGATCTTTATTACCTCAAACTACTCTGAGGGCTACTTGGGGGTAATTTCATGTCATTATTAAAACAAATCAATACACATTGCCATGAATTTTTCTAGAAAATTAATCTGACATCCTAACAATCATGACTTGCCAGTTATATCTAAAGTTAGAAAAACAAAATAAAACTTAATAAGAGTAAATATATGAGGCAATCACTGCAGAGTAACTTCATTTGTTGTCATTTGTCTAAGTGGTCCAAAGCTACTGCCAGGAATTTAATGACAAATAAAAAAGGATAGTCATCTCCCAAGCATTTCTCAAGCAATTTTTCTTGAACTTACCGCAGAAAAGCTCTCCAAGAAAGTCTGTACAAGATGTCACCAATAACTTATAATTAATTGTAAATTTTTATAATTTTAAATAACTTTTTTAATTTTAAAATCGATGTGCTCAAGGTGCACACAGTCGCAAACACACATTTACTCCATTTAGGCCATACTAAAAGACTTAAAACTGATCTGATGTTTCTGGGAGTCCCATAATTCGTCCACTCTAACAAGTCAAAATCACCTCTGAGTGAGACTAACACTAGTGAGAGTAACGGTCTTAAAGGAAATTTATGTGCGTGACCGGAGGTGGAATATTACTAGGGGTCAACAAGTTAGTTTTTAAATAGATGCAGAAATGCACAGGATGATGGTGAGCTGAGTGAAAGAACTCTTCTCCTATGATTCATCTTGACTCTATACCCCCTGGCAATCTCAAAAGTGAGAAATGACTTGTCAGGTGTGCATGCCACAATGAACAGTAAGTGTCAGTGTTCCTGCAGAGTTCATTCAAAGAAGTTAAGCAATATTAAAACAATTACAAATTTACCTGTAAAAGAGACACTGGTGTAGCCAGCTCGCAAGATGATAGCCTCCAGCACCATGAGAGATAGAAGCATGAGGAAAAAAAGCAGGAGGATAATTCCAACCATCAGAATATCTGTAAACGGTTATTGGATTTTGCCTTCCTCAGAAATTGGTATGGATTGGACTGTCCATTGCAAATGCCGGTTCTTGTTTTAAAAATTCTTTTCTTTGAGTCAACGTTCTTTGTTTTTATCAAGTCTCTGAGTAAACAATTATGACTAGACTTTACATATGTGTACAGGGAAAAACAGTAGTACCAGTCACCTGATTTTATACTGCTGATATAAAAATCCTCCTTAGAATGAATTACTCTTGTAGGTTCTTGTTTTTGTCATCTCCTTAGAAGAGCTACATTTCTTAAACATATTTTAAAAATGGGAATTGTGGGGCGCCAGTGTGGCTCAGTTGGTTAAGCAGTTGCCTTCGGCTCAGGTCATGATCCCAGGGTCCTGGGATCAAGCTCCACATTGGGCTCCCTGCTCAGTGGGAGGCCTGCTTCTCCCTCTCCCACTCCCCCTGCTTGTGTTCCCTCTCTCGCTGTGTCTCTCTCTGTCAAATAAATAAATCAAATCTTTAAATAAATAAATAAATAAATAAAAATGGGAATTGCATCCTAAGATTGCATTCTGCAACATTGAAAAGAAAACAAACCAACCTACTTTTAAATATCCAATGTGTCAAATTGTTAATGAAGTGAAGGCTCTTATGGCAAGTTAAGTCATAGTAAAATATAAACTCACATGAAATGTCCATTTACTAATCTCAAAATAGGGGGAAGTATTCTGTTAGTTGACTGATCTTATTAAACTAAAAGTTTTTGGTTTAAGTATGTGAGTAACAAATTT